GGAATGGGGCAGGGAGGGATGGGGCAGGGAGACAGAGGGGCAGGGAGGGATTGAGCAGAGAGAAAGAGGGAGAGAGGAATGGGGCACGAAGGGAGAGATGGGGCAAGAAAGACACAGGCCAGGGGAGTGTTGGGACAGGATAGAGCCCATCAGGCCAGAGCTGGCTGAGGGAAGAAATTAGTCAGGAGGGCTGAGGGAGAGGGCAGAGATGGCTGATGGAGGGGGCAGGGAAGAGGTGGTTCTGAAAAAAAGGGGGGGGGGCTTAGAGAGACATGGATCTGGTAGATATGTGCTAAGAGACAGATGCATCTGGTTGGAGGCAGTTGGGCCATGAGTGCATCAAGGAGACATAGGCTAGGGAAAGAGTCAGGGATGGAACAGGACAAGATCCATCAGATGGACTAGAAGGGCGGATAGCCAAGGGGGAGAAATTGTCAAAGCCGTTCCTGTTCCTCTAGTACGGCTTGGGCTGGGGATGCTTGGAGATCCCCTTCAGCTCTCAGAGTCTGTGATGCTGCATGTGAGACAGAGAGGGGTCAGAGTCTTCAATGGCCTTCTAACTTGTACTTTGCAAAGGACCCCCTCCATGACATCCCTAATGATTGATTATCCACCTTTTGTTTGAGTGTGTGAGTGTGTGTGTGTGCGTGCGTGCGTGTGTGTGTGTGTGTGTGCGCGCGCGTGTCTGTGTGTCTGTGTTGGGGGCAGGAGGACCCCCTGCCATGTATGCCCCATCCCCCAGGTGAGATGGGTCAAAGGGGACAATGCAAGCTTGAGTCACATGAAAAGAGGCAGAGTGCCCAGAATGGGGGGTGATGGTCCCTCTGTCCCCTCCCTGGGAGCCACCACACTATGAGCATTGTGTTCAGCTCTGGGAACCACATTTTAGGAAGGACAGAGATAAGCTGGAGGGCATCTGGAGGAGGGCAAACAGCATGGTAAAGTGCCTGGCATCTCTCAGATGAAGGAGCTGCGGGTGTTCAGCCTGGACAAGAGAAGATAAAGAGGAGAGCCTTCCATTAGCCTTGCCAGGTCATAGAGCCAGAAGGGCCCGTGGACACCAATAATAGTCTTCAAGCCTCTGAAGAAGGCAGGCAGGCAATAAACATTTATTAAGCACCTACTATGTGCTAGGCACTATTCTAGGAGGGATTACTCCTGTTCTGCCCAGCCTCAACTAGAATAACCAGACCAAAGTTAGGCACAGAAACAAATTTAGTCTTTTTTTTTGCTTTTTGGTGAGGCAGTCGGGGTTAAGTGACTTTGCCAGGGTGATACAACGAGTAAGTGTTATGTGTCTGAGGCTGGATTTGAACTCAGATCCTCATGACTTTAGGGTTGGTACTCTATCCACTGCGCCACCTAGCTGCCCCACAAATTTAGTCTGGATGCTGCTGGTGGTGCCACAGTTCACAGAGCACTGGGCCTCAAGTCAGGAAGCCCTGAGTTCAAATCCGCTTGCAGACATTTACTAGTTGTGTGGCCTTGGACAAGTCATTTAACCTCTGTCTGCCACTTTAGTTTCTCCAATAGTAAGAAGAGGATAATAATAGTACCTATGTCCCAGGTTTGTTGTGAGCATCAAAAGAGACAATATTTGTAAAACACTTTGTAAATCTTAAAGTTGTATAGAAATGAACCTTGTGATGATGATGATTATTGATATCAGGGAGAAAAAAAGCCCAACAATTGGGCTGTCCCAAAATGGACTGGTATGCTTTGGGAGACTGTGGAGTCCCTCACCCCCCTCTCTTGAAAGTCTTTGTGTGTGTGTGTGTGTGAGGCAATTGGGGTTAAGTGACTTGGCCAGAGTCATACAGCTATTGAGTGTTATGTGTCTGAGGCAGGACTTGAACTCAGGTCCTTCTGAGTCCAGGGCTGGTGTGCTATCCACTGCACCACCTAGCTGCCCCCTCTTGAAGTCTTCAGTGACTTCTCAGAGATTCTGAAAAAAAACCAAAACAACAAAACAAAACATTGTTATACTTTGTTTCTTCATCATCTTCATTCCCCCCCACTCCGATATAGTTCTCTTCCCCTCACCTCCCTACTGAGCCACTCCTTGTAACAAAGAATACAATACGAAGAAAGTTCGGCCAAGCTAACCAACACAGAGGAGGTTCGTTTTCGGTGTGTTGGTCCAGACAGGCCTCTGAGAACCCTTTTGGTTCTGGGATTCTTTTGGGTCACGGGCAAGGGAAGGGAAGGTGTAGGAGTCGGGATCTGGCACGGGCGATGAGGCTTGGGTAGATGCATCCCCCACTCCTCACTGCCCTCACTGGCCTCATTCTCCCTGCAGGCCTGGTCAAACTGGGCGTCCACTGCATCACTGGCCAGAAAGTGGCCATCAAGATCGTGAACCGGGAGAAACTGTCCGAATCGGTGCTGATGAAGGTGAGGGGGCCAGGGGCTGGGCTGGGGTGAACGCTGGGGCTGGGGAGTCCGGGGTGACCTCCAAACTGCCACCTGTGCCCCCCAAAGGTGGAACGGGAGATCGCCATCCTCAAGCTCATCGAGCACCCCCACGTCCTCAAACTCCACGATGTCTACGAGAACAAGAAATATTTGTAGGTATTTATAGACAGCCCCTGACCCTCCTCTCCCCTGCCCTCCCAGCCCTTGCCCCGGTCCCATCTCAGCTGATGAAGGCTGGATGCTCTCCCACAAGGGGCAGAGCAGAACCTTCTGGAGACTGGGCGTCCCATTTCACAACCCAGCGAATGGGACACTCCCTCCTCCCCAAACAGAGCCCCGAGGCCGCTCCTGGATGACCAAGTCCAGGTGATCTCCAGGATGGGGCCCACACAGGCTGGGGTCCACACAGGCTGGGACTGCCCCCTGAAGGTCTGCACTCCCTTCCTTGCTGTGGGAGGAGGGCCCAGATGTTCAGGCCCCAGAGAATAGGCCTTTGTCCTGGGCCCTGCGGGTGACCGAGGGAGCAGCTGGACAGCGGGGGGAGGGGAACCTGAACCCCCCCCCCTCCCAAAAATGAAGCAGAGTCACAGGATGCCAGAGTTGGAAAGCACCTTAGAGATCTTTCTCCTATTTACAGTAGAGGAAACTGAGGTGCAGAGAGGGAAAAGGTCTTGCCTAGAGGTTGCCCTCCAGCTTCTCTCTCCCCACAGCCTGGCTGCCTCCAACTCCCAGAAGCCTCTAGGGTGGGGTTCCTCAGGCTATTAAGCAGCCATGGCTCCAGAGGATGACGGGAATTGTAGTTCTCAATCCCGGTCTTACCTCCCCCCAGCACACCCACACCCACACACACACCCACCCCTCTATTTCTTGCCCTAAGAAGTGGAAACAGATTTAGACAGTGAGAGTGCAGTTGTCCCTGGGATTAAGGGTGCCAGAGTTCCATCCCACCAAAGGCTATAGAACCTTTTTAGCCCAGAGAAATAGAATCTTTTTACCCCAGGGGCTGATGGGAGATTGGGTATTTATGCTCCAAGGATGGATGGGAATTAGAATGTTAATGCTCTAGGGGCTAATGGGAATCAGAACCTTTGTATCCCAGAGCCTCATAAGAATTAGAATCTTTATTGCAAAAGGGCTGATGGGAGATTGGCACATCTGTGGCCTTGGAACTTTTGTGCCTCAGAAGCTAGGGAATTCCTAGTTTTCAGTGGGTAAGGGAGAAGGCAGATGAGGAATGGGGCAGCCCAAGAAGTGAGGCCAACATGCTGTCCTCCCCTTCACATTAACAGTGGTAGCACCCCTCCCCCCTCCTTCCCCTCCTCCCTCCCCCTGCTCTCCCCAGGTACTTGGTTCTGGAACACGTGTCAGGGGGTGAGCTCTTTGACTACCTGGTGAAGAAGGGGCGGCTCACCCCCAAAGAAGCCCGGAAGTTCTTCCGCCAGATAGTGTCGGCCCTGGACTTCTGCCACAGCTACTCCATCTGGTGAGGGGGCTGAGGGCCCAGATGCCTTTGTCCCTGAGGGGGTAGAGAGGGCCTGGGGGCTCGGACATCTGAGTCCCCAAGCAGCTGGGGGGCCTGTGCCCAGGAATGAAGCCCTCACAGCTCCCTTTCCGGCCTCAGCCACAGGGACTTAAAGCCGGAGAACCTGCTTCTGGATGAGGAGAACAACATTCGCATCGCAGACTTTGGCATGGCCTCCTTGCAGGTGGGAGACAGCCTCTTGGAGACAAGTTGTGGGTGAGTGTGGCCCAGGGGGCACCCTGCCTCAGTCCCAAGGGTGGGAGGAAGGGGAGGCCTAGGGCTGGTGAGAGCCTTATGCTCTCTCCCCCGCAGGTCTCCCCATTATGCATGCCCAGAAGTGATCAAGGTGAGTGTTTGGGAAGAATTGGGGATCCAGGGAGGGAGGACGGAGAGAGGCTCAGGAATGAGGGAAACACCTCTCTCCTTCCCAGGGGGAGAAATACGATGGGAGGCGAGCTGACATGTGGAGCTGTGGTGTTATCCTCTTTGCACTCCTGGTGGTAAGAACGGGCTGAGAAGGGGAAGGGAGGGAGACAGATAGAGATAGAGAGAGAGAGAGAGGTCGGGCCCTGGGTTGGGATCCCCACCCGGGGCCTCTGCTCCTCCTCAGATGGTCTGGGGAGAGATTCTGCAAGTCCAGAAACCTGTTTTTAAAAATATATTTTTTGATAACCGTATGTCAACATAGTTGGTCTCCTTTGCAATCCTACGCACATTTTGTTTATTACATTTACAAACATTACTCTGGGAGGACCTGAGTTCAAATGTGGCCTCAGACACATAACACTCACTAGCTGTGTGACCCTGGGCAAGTCACTTAACCCCATTGCCTCATCCAAAAAAAAAAACCAACAAGAAAAAAACATTACTCTGAGACAGGCTCCTCGGCCTTCACCAAATTGGGGAGGGAGAGAAAAGTATTTCTTAAGCCCTTACTATGTGCCAGTCGCTTGCTAAGCATTTTACAAATATTATCTCATTATGTCCATGACACAAAAAGGCTGTGAGTGGTGTAGTGGAGAGAACGCTGGGTCTGGATGTGGGAAGCTCTGCATTCAAATCCTGCCTCAGATGTTTCCCAACTGTGTGGCCCTGGGCAAGTCACTTAACCACCACCTGCCTCAGTTTCCTCATTTGTCAAATGGGGATAATGATAGATAGTACCTACCTGCCAGGGTTGTTGTGAAGGTCAGATGAGATCATTTCCATAAAACACTTTGCAAACCTTAAAGTCATATATAAATGCTGGCTATTGTTATTAAGGCTGGTCTAGGTGATCTCCAAAGTCTACCTCCTCCATCTTGAAATTCTAAGATCTGACGGTCACTTTCCCACCATGTAACCTTGGTCAAATCCCTTTCCATTGTTGGATCTCAATTCAGCAAAATGTTATTAAGCCCTGGCTACTGTTCTAGGTCCTGAGAGTGCCAGACTCAAATTAGAGGGTCCTTGACCTCAAAGGACTGTATTAGGAGGATGTCTGTGTGTGTGCATGTACACACACGTGTGTATAATATACATGTAATTTACAAATATAACATATATGTAATTTCCTACTAGAGAGCGTAAGCTGTCTGAGGGCAAGGATCCTTTCATTTCTGTCTGTCCGTCCCTAGGACTGAGCTCGATGAACTTGCCCATGGTGGCTTACTTGATAAGCGTTTGATGGATTACATGGCGGGTCAGCGAGCAGCAGATATGTAGCTCTCAGTGCTAGTGACCGGGAATGAATGATAAACTTCAAGAAAGAGGCAGCATCTTAGGAAAACCTTGACCAAAGAGCACAGAGAAAACCCCAAAGACCCCAGGAGCAGAGATTTGGAGTTGGAAGGGCCTTTAGAGGCCATTAAGTCCGACCCAGATGAGGAAACTGAGGATGTGCCCAAGGTCACACAGGCTGTAATGGCAGAGGCAGAGCTGGGTCCAGTCAAGATAAGGTTTCTTAAAGGTAGAGATGACGACAGGGTACCTTTCTGGCATGGGGTTGGTTTGTTCAAATACTTGAAGGCAGGAGATGGCCTGTCAGATTAAGGACTGACTTAATCATGTTTGGCTGGGACACGATCATGTGACAGAAGGCTTGGAATGGAATTTGGCGATAGATGATAGAAGGCCTCGGGGTGAGGAGCTGGAATGTTATCTCAGGAGAATAAGGGGTAATTGCTGGCTTTTGAGCCCGATGGGTGCCTTAGGGAGATTATTTTGGCAGCTGCTTGGTGGCTGGATTGAAGAGCAGAGGCCTTGGAAGCAGGGAGGCCAACTGGAGGGCTTGAAGTAGTTCAGGGGCAGGACAATGAGAGCTTGAACTAGGAGAGCTGGCTGCCGCATGAAGAGGAGACAGATGGCGAAAGAAAGCGGCCGAGACTGGGCATCTGATAGAACACAGAGAGGGAGAAGGAATAGAGTCTTGGGATGTGAAGCGGGCTGACTGGGAGGACGGCGGTGCCCCCAACAGAAAGAGGGACGTCCACGGGGGCAAGGGCAAGGCAGATGTTGAGGCGATCCATTTTGGGGTGCCTGTGGCCATCCAAGTGGAAGCGTCCAGCAGGATGGCGGACAGCCGGGGCTGGAGCTCAGGGAACCGGTGCACGGAGATGAAGCCCCGGGAGCTGATGACGAGGGTGGACTGGCCGGACAGAGCCTTCTGTCCATGCACTCAGGACGGCAGACTCGGTCATCTCGGTGCCAGCTCCACGGCCGCTCTCTGGCTGTGCCCCTTGGTTAGCAGCTCCCTCCTCGTCCTGGGCTTCGGGCCAGACGCTGCCCCTCCCCGAGGCTCGGGTGTAGAGCTGACCGCTCCTGCAGGGCAGGCCCGAGGCAGGGAGGGAGGGTGAGGATCAATGACTCTGCCCTCCTCCAGGGGGCGCTGCCCTTCGACGACGACAACCTGCGGCAGCTGCTGGAGAAGGTGAAAAGGGGCGTGTTCCACATGCCTCACTTCATCCCCCCGGACTGTCAGAGCCTGCTGCGAGGCATGATCGAGGTGGAGCCCGAGAAGAGGCTGAGTGTGAGTGACGGGGCCAGGGAGGCTCCCGCAGCCGCCCCGGGCCGGAGCAGCAGTACTGCCCTCGGCCACGAGGGGGCGCGCACACGGGTCGGGCCGGCTGCGCATGGCGCGGCTGCGGGCCTGGTCCGTCCCGGCCGGAGCTTAGCGTGCACAGCAGGCTCCCTTTCTAGACGCGGCCGCCGCGGGGCGCGCTGAGAGAACAGGGCGCGTTTCCCAGGAGGCCGGCTGGGAGCAGGGCTGCCGCGGGCAGCTCAGGAGATGAACGCTAGGGGGCGACAACAGGCACCGCGCTCGCACCCCACCCCCGGAAATGGAGGGGGGGAAGGGCGTTAATGGGGATGAAACCCTCCCCCATATCACTCGCTGATCAGCTTCTCTCTCATTCCCTTCCCCCCCCCCCCCCCCCCCCCGGAGCGGCCTCACAAACACCCCTGGTACCTGTGAGTATGGGCCGGGGGAGGGAGAGAATAGGACCCAACACCTGGGGTCTAGATGGGACAGAGCCGGGGGAAGAGGACGCCGAGGGCTCCGGAGGTGGGGGGGGAGGCTCCTGAACCCCCACCCAATCCGCCCTTGCAGGGGAGGGAAGCCGGAGCCTGAGCCCAGACTGGAGCCGTCCCTGGGTCGTCGAGTGGCCATGCGGAGCCTGCCGTCGGGCGGGGAGCTGGACCCCGATGTTCTGGAGAGCATGGCATCCCTGGGCTGCTTCCGGGACCTGGAACGGCTGCACCGGGAGCTGCGCAGCGAGGAGTGAGCCCCAGCCCCCTGCTCGCGCACGTCCCCGGGGCTGGGTCACAGCTGGAGGAGGGAAGGGGAGGCTAGGTCAGAAGAGCGGCTGCCTGAAGCTCTCGGTCCCTGCCACGTGGGGGAGACAAAGCGCAAGCCCAGCTGCGTGAGCTTCTGAGTCCCGCCAGGAGAGGCGAGAGAGTCATCGAGGGGATGTTGCCTGCTGACCCGTTCAAGGGCTGAAGGGGGCAGCAGCGAGCAGAGTCAGAGCCCAGAGCCCAGAGCCCAAGGGCAGGGCCAGGAGGAGGCAGCAGAGAGCAGAGTCAGAGTCCAGAGCCCAGAGCAGGGCCAGAAGGAGGCAGCAGAGAGCAGAGTCAGAGCCC